TTCTCTTCCTCTTTTTTTTTTCCCTATGTTTGTCCCTCTGCCCTTTCCCACTCTCCCATTACACTATCTCTGCTATATACAGTTGTCTTCCAGAAGAGTTATTGAAAAAGTGATACATACAAGTAAAGGGAGAGAGGCCATGAGTTCCAATTATCAGCTCATAAAGTTTTTGACAATAGGGAGCATAGATTCTATTCAGGGTTGGATTAAGGGAGGGTCTCCTGCAGATCCACAAGTGTAGGTGAGTCTCCAGGGAATGCAGTTTCAGGAAAGCAGTTCTGGTACGCAGGGATGATTATCAGCTGATGCGGCACAGCAGTCATCTTGTAGTTACCAGGAATGATGTTGTGGGCATCTGCAGTGTGAGTTGTCCTTGGGTATCTGGCTTCCTTAAGAATGGCAGAGTAGTTCTTGTTTTCCCCTGAGGTAATGCAGGGGTGGTAACTGTCATCTTCTCAAGTTGCAAGTTCTTCAACCTTGTTTAAGGCCTCCGGGCCATCCAGCCGGCTGCCCAGGGTGCGTGAGCCCCGGGCCGCGGGGCCCCCACCGGAGGGATTTTTGCTATACACATCCCTTCTCCTCCATTCTCCTCCTGGGATCTTGGGCACACATGCACACGCGCCCGGCGTGAGTTTTAAGCCTCCAGGTCCAGGACGCGAACCGCGGTCGACTACGTGGGAGTCCAGCGACATAGCCATTACGCTAACTGCTGGTTCCCAAATCTTAAAACTTTTTGATAGTCCTGTAAAAAAGAAATAATTCACATATAATCAATTCAGCACTAAACAGCAATAAGAAGATAGGTGTTCATGCCCATTGTGAACTATTTGAGGAAGTATTGCCATTCAAAATGATCTTTTTCCTGAGGAAGTCATATTACGCAATGACGCAGATGACAAAAATTCACTCCAGTGTTCCCCACAAATATAAGATGAAAAAATCAGATTGTTTTATATTTTATATATATACATATATATATGTGTGTGTGTGTATTAGATATGATATATATTAGCTCATTGTTTTTTAATTTTGCTATAGGGCACGTGTGCTCACCAGAGAGACAGAGAGAGAAAGAGAGACAGAAAGTGAGAAATCACCCCCTGGAGAGATGGCCTTGCTGCAGTCTTCTCCACTCTCCTCTTGGGATTTTGGGACACACATGCACTCAACATGAGTTTCAAGCCTCTGAGTCTGGGACATGTCGGAGTCCAGCAATGTAACCATTATACTATCTGCTGCTTGCAAGATTACTGTATATATAATCTTTAAAGAATTCTTTTATTCAACTTTGTTTATTATCATTATTTTTTAATTTGACCAGAGAAATACAGAGAGAGTGAGAGAAGGAAAGTGAGAAAGCAACCCGCCAGGTCTGGGACTCAAACCACGGTCAGACATGTGGGAGTCCAGCACCCTTAACCACCACACCACCTGCCAGTCCTAATTACAATATATTTTACGGGGAAAACATGTTTGTTCTTAAAACTGTTTTCAGATTTTTAAAAATTTTGTTAGACTCCACATGCACTCCTGAGAGAGAGGCGGTGAGTAAAGCTTCCCACAGGGGAGAGTGACAGCACATTCCCTTCTCCATTTCTCCTTTTGGAATCTGGGCATGCACATGCCTCCAGCTTGTTTCTCAAGCTGCCAGGTCCAGGACTCTAACCCGGGGTCAGCCATGTGGGATCCATCGGCCTTAACCACCATACTGGCTGGCCCTCAGATACTTTCTAAGTTGTAATTTTTCAGAGGGTGAGAACCTAATTTAAGAAGTGATCATTTCTGGGCCAGCAGATGTTATAGCGGTTATGCTACTGGACTCCCATACGGCCGACCACAGTTCAAGTCCCAGACTTAGAGGCTTGAAACTCATACCACGTGCACACGCGTGCATGCCCAAGATCCCAGGAGAACAATGAAGGAGAAGAGATTGTGGTGTAGCCATCCCCACTGGGAGATGATTTCTCACTTTCTCTCTCACTGTTTCTCTCTCTTTCTCCAACAAGCACACACTCCCTACGCCAAAAACCTCCATCAAAATAAAAAAAAAAAAAAGTGATTATTTTTTCTTTTTCTTTTTTTTTGCAGGGGGAGAGATTTTTGCTATAGAGTGCGTGTTCTTGCCAGAAAGACAGACAGAAAGCAACAAATCACCTCCAGAGGGGATGGCCACACTGAAATCTCTTCTCTCCCATTCTTTTTTATTTATATTTATTTATTTTTTTTTTAGAGGTTTTTGCTATAGGCCACATGCGCTCGCCAAACAGACAGAGAGAGACAGAGAGCGAGAAATCACCCCCCAGGGGGGATGGCCACGCCATAATCCCTTCTCCTCCATTCTCCTCTTGGAATCTTGGGCATGCACACACATGCGCCCGACTTGAGTTTTAACCCACCGGGTCCAGGACTTGAACCGCAGTCAACTACATGGGAGTCCAGTGACGTAGTCATTATGCCATCTGCTGGTCCCCAGAAGTGAACATTTCTATAAAGTAAGAAAATTAAGATACATGCTAAATTTTGGTCTTGATGCTTACGAGTTGAGAAACTAAGGCACAGAAATTTAACCAAGCTCAGTTTCCAAGTGGAGTTTAATAATAAAGACAGACTCTAGGGCTGTGGGGTCAGCAGATGGCATCATTGTTACATCACTGGACTCTCACATAGTCGACTGCTGTTCGAATCCTGGACCCGGTGGCTTAAAACTCACGTTGGGTGTGTGTGCATACATACCCAAAATCCTGAGAGGAGGTTGGAAAAAAAGGGATTACAGTGTAGCTATCCTCTCTAGGGGATGACTTCTCGCTTTCAGTCTCTCTCTTTTTCTCCAGTGAGTGTACGTACTCAATAGCAAAAACCTCTCTACAAAAAAAAAGAAAAAAGAAGAATCTAGAGCTCTGATTCTTAGGTTAGAGGATAACTGCTAATATCCTCCCAAAGGTGGAAAATACATTTTCATCATTTCTTTTTTTAGAGAATTTATTTAACTTTATGTATGTATGTATGTATGTATGTATGTATGTATTTTAATTTGACCAGAGAGGGACAGAGTAAGAGAGAGAGGGAAAGTGAGAAAGCAAGCTACCAGGTCCGGGACTCAAACCACAGTTGACCATGTGAGAGTGCAGTTCCCCTAACCACCATGCCACCTGCCATCCCCCACATTTTCATTTTCTTTTGGTGGATGATATTAGTCATTTTTGAAATACATAATATAAATTCCTTTAAAAATATTTGTCATTTGTGGTACTGTCACTAAGAATATAAA